CATTTCATCTTTATTTAACATTGACAAACGATAAGGACGTAATGATTCATTGTATTACACTGTGTCGTCTGTGTCACTTAGAAAGCACGCCAGTAATCATTTATAATGCAGTCTCACATAATGTAGTCTCTTTAGTAGCACTAGCATATAATTTGTCTGACGACATAAGTGACAAATGTTTTTCTTCGATCGTCATATTCATTGACGTTTCTCCTCTTGCTTTCAATGCAGATTTAAAAACGCAAATGGCATTAACCGAAGCTGCCGAAAGTTTGTTGCGTTTTTTCGAAGTTAAATCATACACGATGGAAACCATCGTCTTCGGATCGCTGTTTGAATTGGGAAGTGATCGAATAGCATTTAGAATGTTTATTAGATTTGGATATTTGGCCATATTATTTGGATAAGAAGATCGTAAAATTTTTTTCCACATATTATCAAAATTTAATTTAGAGAGACTTTGTTTCTCGTTTGTTGTAAAATCTGATGACAGTACAATCCATTCCTTTTTTAAACCGTCTTCGTCGAAACCGCCAATAGTTTGAGCTACAAAAGAAACATCGGCGAATGATGTTTCTCTATCATTATCGAATAAATGTAAGGAAGGTTTAAAAACTTGTAATTTCGATAAAAACACATTGTCCACAGGCAACGTCTTACGAATGTTTTCTGCAGCAGTTACGTAAAACTTTAAGCAATTTTTTCGAATTGTTTCAACTTCGTCTTCGTGCCCATGCTCCATTAATTTCTGAAGATATTTTTCACATTCTAATCCCAACGTAATTTGATGCAGATCTTTTTGATTCTCCTGTAAAGAGAATACTACATTTTTAGAGAAAGGTTTTAAATGCTTTTCTTTTAAAAAATTTTGGCAGATTTGAAGAAGAAAGTTCAAAGATTTGGGCTGCAAAATATGTATTCGCGTATCTAATGCTTGAAAAAACGTATTGAATTTGTTGAAGAAATTTAATGTGTACTCTAAGAACAGAAAATAAGCTTTTAACTCTATATTATCCATCATAGACAACAGGCATTCTTCAGCTCTTGTTTTCTCGTTCACAGATATTTGATTAAGAAAATGTTTAATTGTGTCCCAAGATTCCAAAAGTTTTTTTACACATAAGTAATGAGAACGCCAACGTGTATCATTTAATCGCGATAGTCTATTATTATTTTCTTGGAAATATTCACAAAATTCAGAAAAAACAGATGAACATTTTGGACTACAGTTAATATAATCGCCAATTTTTGTAATAAATTCCTCGCAAGCTATGGGTATTTCATTGCATGCAGCATGAACTGCTAACATGGTGGCATAACAGGGACAGGAAAATGTTAACAAATGCGGGCATTCTTCTTCTAATTTCTCTTTGAATAATAAATGTTTCCCTGTCATAGTAGACGCACTGTCACACGACAAGGCGACAATATTTAAAAACAATATCTGTAACTTCCACATTTCGCATTTAAATGCAAGGAACAATTTTTCCGCATTGGAATCTTTGGCATCAATGTCAATTAGTTTAACTAGTTGTGATCGAATGTCTAATGTGTCCGGATCAACATAACGAACGAGAAAAGTCATCCATTTCTCATTGTCAGACGTTTCATTGATGAATATCGTAAATTTTGTGTTCTGAATTTTATTGACCACACGTTCTGTCTCGATTGGGCACAAAACATTTGTAATGATGTTTTTACATTTCGTACGACCCATGCTCATGGCTTTCAACACATTAGGATCTTCTCCTACATGTCGGAAGAAACTAAGAATTTCTTTTGCATTTTGGTGGGGAATATTTTTATCGGCAATGAACGCGGCAAATCTAATTTCTGCGGATTTTTTACGCTCTTCAAACGACGAAAGCAATTCAGTTTGCGTAGCCCGATTATGCGTAGCCTGCGTGTCGTCATTCGATTGCGAATTGTTATTCGATTGACTTACTTCAATAGAATTAGTTTTATTTTTATTTATATGTGCTTTGGATTTTGAGTGACGAATGATTTGCGATAAACCACCAGCAGCAGATTTATCACACATTAAACAAAAAAATAAACTTGGATCGTGTGGTACTTCGCGTAACCAGCTTTTAAATTCCGCTCTATCCAACCACTTCTGTTGAAATATAGATCTACGAGATTTTTTTTCTAAGAAACTATCATCATCGCTACTGCAATTCTTATTACTATTATTTTTATGATGCGCAGATTCCGCGTGTCTCGAGATATGTGTTGAACCACACGAAAAACTTTTATCGCATATAGTGCAGTAATAAAGGGTATTATCAGATGGTACTTCTCGTATCCACGACTTGTACCGGACATCCGAGAGCCAAGCTACTGAAAACGTTCGCTTGGGTTTCTTGGTCAATTTAACACTCGATTCCATATCGATTATCAAAAAATAAAAAAATTGAGAAATACCATAACATTAATAAGTGTGTCGTTATTGTGAGAATAATGTGCCCATCAAATCAGCAAACAGAGGTCGACAAAGACAAGACAATCCGAAGATGTCATTTATGACTAATAAATAACTACTGATTGTGTAATAATTGCGAGAAAATAAACTTATTATAATGCTTAGTACTTATATCTAAAGTATACAATGCGCGTCTCTTACTTAATGCAATATGTAAAAACTGTGAATGCAACTCCGAGAAAGAGAGAAAGAAAAATAAACGTCTCTGATGAGAAATAGCTATGCCTCTGGTGTTCGCTTAGGAGCTCAAACTGTCAACTATGTTGCAAGTCCGCATCAGCAGCGAAAGCGTTTCTCAAAAACTTTCAAGCCACAGAGGTCCCCTGAAAGGTTCCTTCAGTTATAAATTCAGTTTCCTTTTCTTTGCAGAAACGAATTCTCGGATTTTCCTTTGATGTGTCCAATATGCAGTCTCGATGGAAAGATATAAGATCGCTTTATTAAGCTTATTTTCTTGATGCCTTAGGATCATGCGGCTTTATTGCCGTCCGCTCTCCTATTTTTTAAACACATAAAGACAATGTTTTTATAATTAAATTAAATTGATCAGATGGCCAAACTTGAAAGGACAGATTTTGAGCAAAATCTACTATAAAGAGATGCTCCAAAAATACAGGTTTTTTTTCGCCTAATTTATAATCTTCGAAATTTGAATCAAATTGTATGCCAAATAATGCTATAATGGAACATTAATCTCAGAAAAATTTTAAGTTAAGCGTTTCAGAAAACCAAAGTCAATTAAAATGGATTGAAAAAGATTCATTTCATCGTTCGCGAATGCATTCTTCTGAAAATTTGAATTCATTTCAATACCTAAGATCTTTTTATTCATTTATAGGAATTGCATGAAGCACAATTAAAAAAAACAGATTTTTTATTTAAAATATGCATTTGGATTAAAAATCTTAATACAAAAATTTCAAAATACAGATAAATCCAAAGATAAGAAAGATATAAAAAACAAATTATAATAAAACAAAATTTAAGATAAAAATTATCTAAGTATAGGGATAGTTTTGGAAATATGAGTATTTTAAGTTAAAACAGTCAAATTTTCAATATTGTTCAAGTACAATAAGCACAAAAAAATTAAATAAATACAAATTGCTTAAAATCGGAGTTAGCAAAAGATGTGTTCTTTTTTAAGAACAAAACATTGTTTTTTTAAACTTATTTTTAATATTTCATACGTGTTTTAAACATATATCATAAAAAATATGTTTTAAAATTTGAAACATGTTAAAAACATGATTTTTATCAACCCAGCTTAAAATGAAATAAATATATATTCAGGGGATCGATTGTGTATTTTGGAATAAGATGAAAATTATAAAAGTGAGCAAATTTATATTCAAGATTAGTGTAGATCAATGAAATTACAGATTTGTTCGCGTTGCTTGCACTTTTTGCTCTAATCATCTTCGTTTTCTTTCCCTTTGATATCCGAATATATATTTATCTCATTTTAAGTGCAAAACATTTTTCAAAATATATCTATCTTATTTTAAGTGTAAATAGGCCTTCTTTTTAGCTGAACTTCTTGCACGTTTCATCTTTTGTCACTAAGCCTGTTCCTTTTAGCTGAACTTCTCTTGCACGGTTCATCTTTTCTCCTTTTCTCTCCAACGCAACGTCAAGAGAAAAAAAAGATGAATCGTGCAAGAACTATAGCTAAAAAGAACAGATCTATTATTTTTAGAGATTTCAAGCAACACGAACAGAGTAGCAATCATGTAACTTTTTCTTTAGAGTCGAAAAAAATTATATAGTCGCTAGTGTTCACTACAGTTAGACCCTATGCACAATGGAGGAAATATTAGGAATAGGAATAAATATTAGATTTATATTAAGATTTCAACCTATTAGAAACCTGTGTATTCCGGTGTAACTGGTAGGTTGAAATCTTAATATTTATTCTTGTTCCTAATATTTGTTCTATTATGCGCAGACCCTCACTGTAGTAAGAGTCGAGACACAAGCAGTTTCTCTTCATGATTGGTGCCGCTATGTTTCAATTTATTAATGTGTTAGTAAATATAAGTGAATAGGTGCCCTGGTGAAAATTTTTCTCATAATTTTTATACGAATTGGAACATTTTTCAGAAATACTCAAAATATTCGGAAAGTTTATATCTTCTCTCAGAATTTTTCATACAAGTGAATTCTGAAATATTTTGAAATTTCTCATCCATAAGTTTTACAAAGTATTTTTAAATTTTCTATATTTTATCAAAATCAATAAGATTGGAAATAAGACCGTATATGTTAAATACATTACTTAAATACGAAGCGCCACTACGGTCTGAATGTTAAAATGTTGAACTATTACATATATTCATTTAATATTTTTCGAGGAAATATTTTTCGCAATAAGTTTATTACAGTTTTTTAAGATTAAATTTGGAAAACTTGGGGGAATTATTAATATTAGGTGTACAAAAAAGTTCTGAGCTTTTTTTTGTAAAATTCAATCTTTATTTAAAAACAAACGAAAAAATATTAATCAGCGAAATATTCTCCGTTGTTCTGCAAGCTCCTTTTCAGTTTGCGCAGAGTTTATATCCAGCAGTGCTTGCAATTCGTCCGTTTCAATCTTTTCAGGGCGTCCAGCACGCGATTCATCTTTAAGACTGAAATCTCCTTGGCGAAACTTTTGATACCACCTTTTGCATGTTGCATGACTTACAGCGTTCTCTCCATATGCAGCACAAATCATTTCAGTGGCTTCAGCAGCATTTTTCTTCAGATGAAACGCGAAGTGGATGGAAAATCGAAT